AATAACACATTGACGACAACGCGAGTTTTGGCACTTTTGCCGCGTGGGACCGGGGCGATTTTGTGGGCACGGCCGCCTTAGGTCGTTCAAGCAAATTTTGAGTGATAAAAACATAAATAATGATCAATATAAGGCCAGATCAATATATTGTAATGAGCACAACCTACTCGGAGGTACAGTAGCGGAATTTCTATTGAAAGACATGGAATAACAATGAAAAAGTGATATTCTTTAGAACAAGCTGCAATGAACTTCAAAGGCAATTTTAAGTTGATTATTTCAATCAAAACACATATATTGTCATCCTAAGGTACCGTATCTACTTCTACTACTATTTAAACCCTTCACATTCATAAAAAGAAAAAGTAAACGAAAAATTTATTAAAGCTGAAGATTTCGTATGGTTCAGAAATCCTCCTCTAAATTGAAGCATACGTGACCATTCTATGGACCACTATGTTTTTAGCTAGGTCAAGGTCTCCTCCATTCAATAATTACAAGAAACTTCTAGAAGAACCAGGCGTGCGCGAAAAAAATTAGTGTAATGGGTGCGGGGGATATATCCCCCGCACGGTCCGACACGGCCTGCAATGCGCGGGATATATATCCCCCGCGTTGTCGTCAATGTGTTAACGCATATTTACCAAAAGCGAGAACTCCCTAGGAAGAAAGTGTTCGAAATCGTTTGATGCTATCAAGGTAAGCAAAGGTCAGTTGTTATTATTAACTAAATCATTTTTTGGATTAAATTTTTTGTTAATTATAGTTGGTTTCCATAGTCAGATGTAACTGTCATGGATGCGCGAAGCAGTTAACTGTGGAACTAATTCGCATGATAGGGAACCAAGGCTGTGGGAGAAATCAAAACTTCCACCTATTTCGTAAGGTTTTCTTCAGTTTTAGTAGCGCTCATGATTTTAGCGCGAAACCTCCCGTTTGTTTTCGTCTATGAGTTTACCTTTGTTCGGTAAAACCTGACGACAGGAAACAGTGCCTCGATGATTAGTTTGCTGTTTGTGCTTTGTGTGTCGTGTTTTACGGCGTAACCGCGTTAGATAATTTGTTTCGTAAATGCCAGATAATCAGACGTCATTAAAGGCAAACTCCGGGTGATTCTAGGTCTCTTGGTTTTGAGTGGAGAAATGGGTGCCAAGGTCGATCGAGGCATTGAAAAAAAGAGGAACAATTCAAAGAACTCCAAAATCAATTGTGCTCGTTATCGCTTACGATTGATCTTAGTTGTGTTGTGTTATAGTAATTGTGTGTGCTTTTTGGACATGTCACAAAGTAGCAAGTGTTGGCTTTTGCCATCAAACCGACACGGCCACAAAAAGTCAGCAATGAAAACTGTTTTTTAGTTTCCCTATTTTTTCTATTTTCCGTGCTTTTTTTGTTTGCTTCCTACCTTAAAAATTTTTTTCTCCTCACTAGATGATGACAACGTTGCTCGAAAATGGTCGTAACATAGGCTTTGATGTTAATTTCCTCAGCAATTGAAATCCGCTAAATATTCTCCTTTCTCCTCTCTTATTCCCCTCTTCCCATTCCAAACAACGGCTTAACGTCTAGCGTTCCAGGTGGTTGTTTGGAAGATCACGTAGGACGGTGGGCGGGCTCAATGGGGTTGGGGCGGCGCCAATGCTCCAACCTAGGCTCCTAGCTCCTAAACCTTATCAAAACGCCCCACCACTTCTGCACATGGTCTGCCTTTTCGTACTGCTGCATATTTGACGGGGAAACCCTAAATTTCGAAAGAAATCTTTAATTGCCTTCAAGGTTCGTTTCATATCGATTTCTGGTCTCATTCAGCTCAATCACTACTGTGAGAACCACTGATAGTAGTTTAGTACACATAGGCAAATTGAGCAATTTTTTTCTACTCCCTGAGAATGCGTATAAGATACATAAGATATCCGTAATATGAGTGGAAGAACTCACTCACCACAGTCGACTCAAAGTTAACAGCTGCTACCGACACACTTCGAAAACTCAGTGGAGCTGTGGGATCCTTAATGAGTAGTAGCTACTCTCACACCCCTTATCCAGAAACTTATAACATAGCAGTCCTTTATCACAACATGCGTGCAAACAAACCGCTGAACAGTTTTAGAGCTAACGTGCGCGATAGTAAGCCTCTTCAGCGAGATCATGAAACCTGCTGGCCCACTGCTAGGAAAATATAGCAAAATAGAAGCGCACAGGCATATTTGCTCTCGTCTCCCAAATAGTTGTTTATTGCATCGTAAGCAACACGGTATTTCCGAATAAGAATCCACAACATCAATCCTTTTTATATCGCTCAGGACCAACACCCTTGCCGAAATTCGTTTATCCACATGAGACAGAATAATACTTACAAAAAAAAGCAACCTGACCTTTTACCTTAGGCAGAATACAGTATAGTATAGCGCCCTAAGACCCATAAGTATACTTTCGACGTAGTGTTGAATAGGACACTTAAGATACCAACTCACTTTAGCTCGGAACAAAACCAAACAAACAAATTTCATTCATTTTCAAAAAAATTATACAGAAGAGTGATAATAGAGGGCTCTTGTGCCAGCACCTCTGTGGGTACTACTCAGTGGGTCGTGGATTTCCGTCATTGGCCAATGGCCTTGCTATCCAGTGTCGCATAGAGTCAATCTTCCATAACAACCCATGGTATCTCTGAAAAAAACATTGTGCAACTAAAAACGAAATGTATGGAATAAAGTGAAGTCGTAGAAATGAGCAAGCTACGAACAAGACTGGCACGTCTGTCCTTTCAATGGTCGCACGTTGTCCTCGAATTTTTTCCGCACCCCTTGAGATGAATGGTGTTAGCGTCCTTTTCCGTTCTAATGAGCCACTTGAGCTCAGCGACCCACTGGACGGCCATTCTCATTTCCAATAAAGCAGCCTGCAACCTCTTGGTCCAGTCCCCGCAACATTCTCCTCTCGCAGGCTAAAATACTCCATTGTTGATGACAATAAAACATTGAATTTTGAAAGCAAATGTACCGCGAGCCGCCTATTCATTGCCTCCCAGAAAGCGCCGGTAACTCCACTGTTGCTCATCCTAACTATGAAAAAGATATTATAAAATCATTGGAATTAAACGTGTGACGATATTCGGTAAATAAAAGGCGCAACAAACGCTAATTTTTGTTACGTCATGGTCACCCCTGGAGGACTCGCCTAGCATGGAGGCACTACCTAAGCGAGGCCAACTGGTAACGGCAGTTCGGCGGACAGTAGTCTTCCGCTGCTCACTCATTTCTGAGAAATGGTACCAAATTCAGCCGGAGTTAATTTTTTGAATTGATCCTGCCTCCCTCCCCTCCTTCTACCCTCTTCGTCTCGATATTAGCTACATCAGAGGAAGACCCTGGGAAGAACAGCAGGACGACCAACTGTATACAGGTGAATAGATTTATATTCTTTTTTCTCATTATTGTAAAAGGGAAATTGGAAAAAAAAAACCAGTTTAGCATAGCAGACCCGAGAAAAGAAAAGTAGGAGAGAAGAGGACGCTCATCCCCTTTCTCTTTAAAATGGATCGTAACGTGCACAATTTACTGATTGGATTATACATCGCGATGTAAAATGCTGCGTGGTATCTTGAATAATACGGTCTTGGCGACGAGATCCTCTTTCACAACTACCCACAATAATAATATATTACATATAGAGTCCATACGCGTCGAAATCGGATGCACAATTAGTGAACTGTGAAATTATTCGCGTGATAGGGAACCAAGGCTGCGGGCAGAAAAGAAAAACTTTCCACAGGATCGCGAAGCGTTGATCTGTATTTCCAGTTTACCTCAGGCAAACGCGGTGCGAAGTCTAACGGGTTTGCGTAGTTTGCGAGATACAGTTGTTTTTTCTCATTAAAAACCGGACAACATCGAGACAATGTTTCGATGATTAGTCTGAAGCGTTTACCGGTTACCGCGATTACCGCGATGTAAGTTATTTAGACGTCATAAAACTTTGGTCAAGTCGGTTAATGGGTCAACTCAGATTGATTCTGTACTGGAAGAACCAATGATAGTATTAGTTCGTAATTTAGTAATACTATAGGATATTGGCAAGTTATTGTACTTATTATTATGAGTTAGAAGTTGTTTATAATTTTAAAACCTAAATGCTGCTGAAATATTTTTCAAATGAAAGGACTCGTATCGCACGTCGACTCAAATAGTTAACAGCGTCCTGAAGGCCTATGCATACAAATGTACCGCAACATGCGGGCAACAAGCCGCTCACCAATTTTAGGGCTACCATGCGCAAATAGTAAGCCGTAAGACCTCTTCACACAGACCATAAAACCTGCTGACCCAATGATAGGGCACTACAGCATATTAAAGTCGCGCAGAAGCGCATATTTGCTCGTCTCCCCACAATGGATATTGCAACATGAGCAATACGGTATTTTCCGCGCGAGCCTCCACAAAACCTTCTTTTACATCGCCTAGGACAGACACTTGCACTAAACTCGTATGAAACATATTAATGCTTCATAACGCTGAAGCATCATGACCTTCCTACTCTTAGGTAAAATACAAGGTCAAACTGAGTAAATGACGCATCCGAAAAGGATTCACATGGCGCCCCTAGATCTATTGATCTGATTCCGAGTTTGTCCTTCTGAATGAACGGATTAGAAAACACCTTAGCTAAATTTTATCGGAAACAAATCAAATATACAAACATTTGCTATTTTTACGAAAAAAAAACTTAGAGTAACAATAGGTTATTCTATCCTACTGTCTCCAAGAGCATTACTAAAGTAGGACGCGCATTCCTGGCGTCTGCGGCGGGTCCCTCGATCCAGTGCAGCATCCAGTCTATTTCTCGCACCAGTCCTTGACATCTCTGGAAAAATTTTTTCTTTCGATACGACTATAAAAGGAATAGCTCAAATAAAATCGTAAAATAAGAGAGTTATATAAAGACTGACTCCATCAATTCTTCCAATCGTAGCACAGTTGTCCTCATATGTTTTGCGCAACTCCTTCAGATGGATATTGTTCGCTTCCCTCTCCGTATGGATCAGCCATTTCAATTCAGCGGCCCATTGGTCCTCTATTTCTTTTCTATCGAGGCGTTTTGCAGCCTCTGGGTAGAGTCGCCACAACAGTCACCCCGTGCAGACTGAAAGGCTCCAATTCCATTAACAAAACAATAGGAGGATAGAGTTGTTTACATGAAGCGGGATGTAAAACGAAAAAATGAGAATAGACGTGGCGCAGAAAAGTAACTTATACGCATGACCGCTCAATACCCAATGGGGTATTTGACCAATCGATCTACCATATCTGCATGCAGTATTATATACCGATTTGAGGGGTGCATGATCTGTGACCAGAGTTATTCGCGCGTTTGCCACATATGGTAAAAATGATTTAGCGCAAATATTATTGTGAGTGCATCAAGCTTAATAACAACATATTTCTTTTCGTGGTTATTTCGCGAGTGACTACAGTAAGCGATAGGGTGTTCAGCCTTGGGTATTAGCATTGAATTGAAGCAAACAGGGGGCCTAGTCCAAGAATGGCGTGACATAAATGTGATTCAAAATTAGGCAAAATGTGTAAGATCGGTCAAAGGAAGTTTCAAAAAAAAACAATGAAATCTTGAACGATTAATGAATTTTGTGAAGAAAACAATTTCTGTGGCGACAAGCCGGTGTCAGATTTTGCGAATCCAGCGAGTCGCTAGCAAACTGGAGCGTTGCACCAGCGAATCGATTTGTGTACCAGACCAGCGAATTGGCACTGTCTGAAAGTGGCGGGATCCTTTGAACGTTGGCTCTAGCCTTTTTACCGGGCTCACGAGAGTATGAGAGAGCATGCCTCTGGAAGGTAGCTAGGGTCAACGTTCAAACGAGAGGGAGTCCTGCTTCATTTTTTCTCAATTCGCTAGCGAATCGCAGAATTCGCAGTCTGACACCAGCCTAAGGGCGACGTAGCAAAACCCAAAGACTATGACATCTACGCGGACCATCGAGAGAGAGAATCGGTTGCTTGGGAAGTCTGGGCTCACTGCCAAAGCTGCGATGCGCGATAGATCAAACTTTTTCGAAATGCTCTTGAAGGGAAACTAATTTTATCTCAACTCCACATACTCTAATCACTTTGCGCAGGCTTCTATAATAGTTTTATTGCGGATCACTGTAATACCCATCCTCTGATGCAACACTTAGGGTGCTGTGGTCCGAGATGGACCATTTTTTTCAACATACAGTATTGCTCAAAAGCCTTCGGTGGAATACTTTTGACTGTAATTTCTTTTCTACTGAATTAAATCAGTTCAAATTTTGATATGTTTTGAAGGCCGGCCCACTTCACTGAACTAGCATATTTGTATTCAAATGGGAGAAAGAAATAAGAATGAAAAACCATTTCACTAGAAATTTCGAGTATGAGCAAATTCCAAGTAAGTTTCAAATTACTGTAAAAGCTTACAATTCAACAAAACAATCTTACGCATGATGAAAAAACTGGCAGGTCAATACTTTGTTAATAATCTTCTGGGTCGCTGAAATCTTAACAAGGCCTAAGTATGGAACCAGTCAATGAATGCCTCTCTACCGGGACGACTTCATTTTTTTTGGGAATGACAAGTTTTTCGTCCACATTCATGACTCTTAGAGGAACTGACACTGTGCAGAGGGGAATCCGGGAATCGAAGATCAGGGACGCTGCCGTTTTCGCCAAGGAATCGAAGATAAGGTGGGCCGGACACGTCATGCGATTTTGCGATGACCGTTGGACCAGAGCGGTTACCGACTGGATCCCTCGGGACGTCAAACGAACACCTGGACGACCGCCGGCCCGATGGTCAGACTTCTTCACGAAAGCTCTGAACGAAAGGAATGAAGGCTTCGTGTCCCTCGAGCGAGGAGGATCCACTGGACCACTAGCACGCGACAGGGACGAATGGAGACGTTGCTGGCGCCCGCTCGAGCAAATCGATGATCAACGGGACGACAGGTGATACAGGTGATTTATGACTCTTATTTCTGCTAAATCTTTCGTTGACCTTTCCCGTAATGTTTCGATGGCGCTCAAAACATACAATACGTACGTCTGAATTGGTTCCTCCGTTAAAGGCATAAGTCAGGATCGAGTAGGATCGGGTATTTTGGCGTTTGAAAGGGAGTGCAGAGATGCGAAATGCAACTCAAGCGAAGGAAAAAATTGGAGGAAGCCGTGGGCAAGCCCGAAAATAACCTCCCTTCTCAACAGCGGCAAAGGAGGTTTGTTCAGTAAAGCAGCTGATACCGGCCAATCATTATACACTGGGTGTCGCGCGTCATGCAGCAAGCACTACTTCCGACGGTGGAGCGGGCATAGTTGAAGTTCATCCTTAAATTGTAGGCTAGGCGTATAGGCGTGCGGTCTTTAATCACGAAATCGGCATCACTTCTTATGGTTGCATAACGTCTACGTATGGACAGAGCGGGTTCCTTTGATGCCTATCCCGACCCGACGCTTTTAACACATTCACGACGACGCCCCTTTTCCACTTTTCGGTCGCGTGGGACGGACGCGATTTTGTGGGCGCCGCCGCCTCACCACATAACCGCAGATTTTGTTTTGTAAATGAACAAAAACATGAATGTCACAAAATAATTTCTGCAATGTCCAATGCGTAAAGATTATCTAAACATATAACAGTAGGATTTCGATCAGAGAACAAATAGTGGTTACGAAAAGAGAGCATTTATTCACTTTCCCCGTGAAGGAATTTAAAAGCATTTTACACTCGATTACGAGGTTTGCCCACCTATCTGTCCATTCCTAGCGCCTGGCAAGCGATTATCAGTTGGCAGCCCATATGGGCTGCCATCGTCCCAGGAGCGCATGTTGTTGGCAGCCCATATGGGCGGCCATCGGCGTGAATGTGTTAAAAACACAGCATGCTGTCAGAAACCACTCCTTCACAGTGGAGGTTCGATGGTTTTGGTAGCCTTATTGCTAGAAGACGAAGTATTACCCCACAAGTGCCAGACGTGTGGATACACAACACCTTCAAGAACCTGAACTGTATACGTCTGCCTTCACCATGATTGCGAATACTGCGAAGTTAGTCGGCGGTGAAATGGTCGGGGGCGAAATGGGCTTACGCACACCTAAAGTGGGGATCCCCATAGGGCTACAACGTCCTGCGGACCAACGAGAGTAATTCAAGATGTTTGCCGGCGACTGAAATAGGAATGTGTGCGGTCCTGAGGGAAAACGTTTCGATCCAAGGAATTAACTGCCGTATGTAAAACTTGGCGGAGGCTCGCGTGTGGTAGTCCGTAAAAGAAGTTTTACCAACTACACAGGATTCGAGGAGTGGTGGAAGAGGAAGTATCAGATGGATTCTAGATGTGGTTGCGTATCAAAATCCATGACAACTGTACGCTTGTGGGTTCATATCTTAGCAGAGAGCGACCAAAAGCATCAGACCTCTATTGTGAAGGAGGGTTTCGACAGCATGGCGCGCTTTCAACGAAGGGAACAATTCACACCAATGTCCTGAGCGCCATCGAAACATTATGGGAAAGGGTAGGGATACCTTTGGTGAAATAAGAGCCGGAATATGGGCGAGAAACTCGTCAAATTTGAAGAGAAGTGGAGGAAGCTGCCCAGGTAGAGAGTGCATTCATTGACTGGCTCCATACTTGGGCCTTATAAGATTTCCCTCATAAGTGTATTTCTCCTATTCGAAAATCTCTTGATGAGAGAGATCGTAATGATGAGTAAGACCAAAAATATCTTGGAAATAATTTTGTTGAAGAACCACATAATTGTTCGATAAGAGAAAAAAATCGAGGTGAAGTAACCAAGTAAAGTGTTCCAAGTGACTTCATGTCATCACAGGTCGTTCCGAATGAAATCATTGATAAGCCGTTTTAGCCTGGAGCAAGACGCTGCAGAACAGCGGCGGGATCAAAGGCAATGCCGAACAAAGGAGGAATCAAAGGCAGTTCCGAATGGAGGAGTAGGTTTTCGAGGCTAACAGATCAAGTCAAAAAAAGTGAGCATCAACAGCTTTCATTAGACAAAGTTGCAAAATTGAACAAGACTTTTTCTCTCAACACTACAACCCATTTACATCACATTTGTAGAATTTTTTCCACTCAAACCATTTAATCAATCTGTAGATTTTTTAATATTAGTTCATAAAGCGGATGGCGCATCAGAAAAGAGAAGAGAAATTAAGTTTGCGAGGCTGAGATATTTTATTGACTGGTCAAACTTTACAATCAGTTTTACAGATTCATCTTGAGATTTAGACGTAATACGAACAATAAGATGATAACGTCCAGTTCAAATCTATGATACTGTAGCTAAGGACAAAAGAAGAGCTTACAGAAGGTCACCGAAAGCGGAGGGATCGATCCTGGCTCACTTAATGATTTAAATTCTTTTAAACGGTTTTCGTCGTTCGGGGCCCTATCTCCAACAATGCCTGAGTACCACAAGTGTTCACTCTTGGAGTTTGTTTCTGATATCGACTGCTTCGGATTTTCCAGGCGTCTGCAGGTTCAGTCTTCGATGATGAGATCTTGTTAATTTACCTGCTTTCAAATTTGAGACTTTCACGAAAAAAACACGTCTTACGCAAATGGTAAATCGGAAGACTAGGCCCTGACTTGTGAGGGTACCGCGAGGGACATGGTTAAGGTCGTACCTACCAAGTCAATCCAGTATCGCAAAATTGCGCCCGGTTAGGGCGCTAATCTTACCGGGCTGCCCATATCTATTGCAACGTTTCCACCCCTCGATTGAGATGTAGCCAGCGTGTGCCAGAACGGCGTGAATTGTTTCTCGTGTTTTGTCTGTTGTGCCCTGTTCGCAGTCCAATCGATCTATATCACAGGGTTAAGGAAATTCCGGTGATCTGCAATAATCCTCTCATTTTGGGAGTTGAAGGCTGGATTCAGAGTAAAAATCTTTTCATCACTGAAAACGATGTCTCGGGCGCGTGCCACCGTGAATCGCTGCAGCAACTTCTTGCATCTCTCCAATCTCCTTTTCTTCATAATGTCCGTCAGGAGTTGGCATTTCTGCAAGCGATAGGGGAACTTCCTTAGCTTACTTCTGACAATCCTCATTGACCTCGCGCTGTACTCACGTTTCGCCATCGGGGCATCGAATCTCATGGGTTCTTCGCATTCTTTCTGTGACGGCTCACATTTCGCGATAATGTTGTGGGACGTTCTTTCCCTGTCCTCTTCGGTCTTCAGTTCTTTATAGCGTCGTACTGTATTCTGAACCGTCCTTCGAGGTACGGAAAGGATCTTCACAATTTCTCTGTTTGCTTGCCGTCGTTGTGAAGTTTGATGATCGCGCTCTCCGTAGGTCAGAACGACGGACCATTTTGTATTCGAGTACGTAGGAATTACGACAACCTCCAGGCAACATATCACAAGCGAGTGAAACAGGAAAATCTCCAAAAAGTGTTAAAATTAACGTATAGGCGTGCCACAGTATAGTCTGCCCACCTTTGGCTTACACGAGCGTTGTGACTCATCCTTTTCGGTAATTGTAATGGACTCAGCAGTCAAGGATCAACACAACCTTTTGGCTTTCAGGCTTTGTGGGAAAAAGTTTGATTTTAGGTTACAAGGGGCATCATTTTTGCTACTATCAAAACATGGCGGGTCGGAAATCTACCTGATACGTTAAGTTTAGTAATTTTTGACATTTTGAGATTGTGATAGGTGGTCTCCCTCGTCATTTCCTGTTCTTTGGATGTTACCATCCCTTCTGCATAGCTTGAACTTCCTTTTGTGTGGATGTTTCGTACCTTCGCCATGAACCTAAATTTTAATCCAATTATGGATATGACTGTTAGAAGACGTATTTTCTGCATTGCCCCTACAGTCGGAAAATGGCGTTTTTTCGTTTTGCTTCGGATGGTATGCCTTGCGAACACGTCATACTGTTTGGGTGAAACTCCAGTTTGGGGGACGACTCCATAGCGCTCTCCAATACTAAGGATTTGGATGAGAGTTTTCATGACACGTAGATTCATTTAAAATCACTTCTAATAAGGACCGGTGTATTGTAGGTAGTACTGCTAAGGTGGCTGTGGTGTATGAAAATGGTCCTGAACTAGGGTATGAACATCCTTTCCCAGGCGCAAGGGTGTAGGAGCCCAGGGTGGACGATCACATGCCATAAATTGCCTAGGATGTGAGCAGGATGTGCGTGATGTAGGGCATACACCGGTCCTTATCAAAAGTGCACTTGAAATGAGTCGTTTACCTATTATCTTATCCATAGGGTTAAAGTCCAAAGGAGTGCTCTCTACGGATAAGATAACAGCGGAGTGCCCCTTCCCCCCCCCCGAATTGGAGTTTCACCTACTATTGATGTCAGGAGAACCGACAGGATTAATTAGCTAGAAACGATTAGTAGTAGCATCAGTAGTAGCAAAAAGACGTGCTCTGCGCGGTTTCAAACGCATTGCCATCACAATGCCCCCACATGTTGCGATAGCGCCCCAACACGTTTCCAGAAAACAAAACTGCCATGCTTTGAGTCATTGTGTTTAGACATCAGGTTAGGATTTTGAGCTAGACATAGTATCCAAAGATCTTCACTTTCCCGTGAAGTCGTTTTGCTGTAATCTGCTTTTTCTTTCCCGAATTTGCATATATTTGGCCCAGATGTCCCGATTGGAGACGGATGCCGGGGGATTTGCAAGCACTTTTTAACGACTCGTCTCACCGTCTTAGAGTTGTCTCTCACCTTCCCTTTCCCTTGTTGTTGTATAATATATAAATATCTATGTAAATAAAGTGTACATAGCCCAAGTCCTTTCCGTGATGCCGCCCTTCAACACCAGTGGAAGGCCTGTACAAGCTTCTAACGAAATAGATATACTCATTCTGCTCTACAAGGGGAGGTCTTTCAGGTGTACCCGCGCTTTCTCAAAACGGTTTTTTGCATGATGTAGAGGGATGTGCGTGGATTACAGAACTGTAGTCCATTTCCGCTAAATGGCTCTCTGAATGCCAAAAAAGGAGTGAGCAAATGGTCCTTGGTCCGATTCCGCCTTACGACAAATTTTTTGCATTGTGATTTGGCGCAACAAGCGTGGCACCAAATACGTCAACACCAGGAAATGACGTCATATTTGTAATTAGGCTTGCAAAAACCCTTAAAAGTAAGCGTATAGCGAAAATTGGTGGGAGAAAGTTGTGACGCAAGAACGGCACCAACGTGCCGTCGAACAGCGTCATAGGGGCCCAAAATGATGTCGGAGCTGAAAATGAATGTCATAGTCGTAATCAGGACACCTGATTACCCTTGTATTCGAAGTTTCCAAGAAAATCAAGACTTTGACCCAACTTCGAAAAATTGCTCCATGAGTAATAAGTAAACTCTGTAGCACGTCAGGCTCGACGGCGAACTTCTTGGAAATGACCTCCTCTAGATCCTCATCAAGGAATGAGAAATGTTCCTACCGAACAGAATAGTAGACACCCAAGCTGATGACGGTCGGGGAGAGGGGACATCCGCAATGCAGTAGTTTTCTGCTAGTTCTCCACACGGAGGATGCCCCCAAGCGACTACTACTTGAAAATACTTGAAGAGTTACTTATGTCTGGTGGAAATTTTCGGAAGTTAGGTCAAAGATGCGATTTTCCTCGAAACTTCGGCTATAGAGGTAAACCAGTGCGCTGGTTAAGAATATGGCATTGTTTTTTGGAGCCGCCGCTATCTGGCGCCATTTCGACGTTACAACTTTGTTTGCCTGTATTTTCGGTGAAAACTTACCTCATCGGGGTTATTAACGGTTCTGATCATGAATAATACATCTATTATGGCGTTTATGCAACTTGGAGCCTCGAGATCGAGATCTGGAAGTGCCAACAAGAAACGCAAAAAATTGCGCATCTCGAGGATCCGAACCAGCAACCCCGTCCAACCGTGCCAATTGAAGTCCATATCGCTATCCACTACACCACCGACGCAACCGAATGCTGAGCCTAAATGCACCCATGAAAACTTTCATACGCTCTTCACTACATAGCATGTCATCGCTACGACAACTTTCCAATTTTGGCGCGTTGTTTTCGATACAGAGCTTGCGAGAACTCTTCGTTACACCAGCAGTCCACGCCATAAATGAAACAAACCACGGTGAATACGCAAAAATTGCACTATCTGACGAAATATTTTTCACTCCTTTTTTGGCATTCAGAGAGCCATTTAGCGGAAATGGACTACAGTTCTGTAATCCACGCACATCCCTCTACATCATGCAAAAAACCGTTTTGAGAAAGCGCGGGTACACCTGAAAGACCTCCCTCGTTAGAATTAAAATTGAGTGGGAGTACTATTTAATACCAAATAAGCTTGATTCTGTTTTTAGCTTTAATCGCTTTTAGGATACGCTAGGCGACTTTAATCAGGATAATCCGATGGTAGGATATCTTCAAAAGCCCTCATCTTCCGACGTCAGATCCAGAGGATGAAAATTAGAGAATCATGTCATCAAATCGAAATCAAAATACTTGATTCGATAATTTATATAGACCGCAGGCGTCGATTATAATGAGGGTGGAGGTAGTGTATCGGCAAGGCGATATTTCCCATGCGCATGGTCTAGAGATCAAATCCTGCACGCACGCCGTCTAGGCCAGCCAACAAACCGTCCCATCTGATGAAGTCGCAATCAGTACCAGACTTGTCTAAGGGATTAAAACCATTGAATTGTTCATCGGCTGCCTCTTGCAAAACATTGTATGGGCCGTACCGCACTCAAAATGCCGCTAAATTCTGAATGATCGTCGTCGATACCGGGGGGGCGCTTTTTGGGATGCTTCGTGACGCATCAAAAGGGTAATCGACGCCGGAAGCTCTGTATTTCTTATCCTTTCACAGGAATGGGTGCTATACAAGTGGGGTGGGCACGCCCAGCTTTTCACGCATGTCAAGTGACTGCCCTCACCCCCCCCCCCCTAGATTGGCTACACTCCCCTGGCTCACGAATTCCCCGATTCTCGTGACAGTATAGTAGCGGGCAGCAGTCCCACTTACATACATTTCTGTTCAAAAAATGCGGCGTGCCCACCCTACTTGTATAGCACCCACAGGATTGAAAGGAATCTTCCACGGAAAGAGTGATCATTTTGTCTTGTGTGTAGGATTAGTATTATCGAAACTAACGCTTATGTTCCGTTCTTGCTATGCTCATGAGGCTAGGGGCCTAAGGGGTATCGTTTTTCTGTGGTAATGGAGGCGGAGCTTTTTCCGCGGAAGATTCCTTTAAGTAAATCTTGTAACTTCGTCTAAAGGCATCGGCTCTTACTATCTCGCAACGATTCTGGATGAAAGTGGAATGCATGGCGCGTCCTAAAAGGGATGATCGAGGTCGGAACCTGCTTGTTGGCGATAAACGTCAACATCGTGACGCACGGAGATTATCGACCAACCCCAAAACTGCATTCGAGTCTGGCGCATTAACTACCGTATCCACCATGAATCAGGTCAAAGTGGGCGGTGCTTGCGCCCAACACGGCGGCGACGCTCCGCTTGCTCATTACAGCGTCTGCCTGTTCACGTTTGCATCACCCGCTTTTTCTCCTTCTCCATATAAAAAATGGCTACTATGGGATATCCTCCACGTACTGGACACTCCGTTTACGGTACGTTTTCTATAAAGTTGGAGCCATGATTTTTAAACATTCTAATGAAGCGCTTACTTGGATAGGGACTTGATATTTGTAGGAGTTCGAATTGGACTATTTCAGTACTAAAGTTCAGAATTAAAACATTATGCGTTATCGGTGTTCTCAATGGTTTCAATAGCCTTCGAAAACGTTCCGATATTGCAGGAAACAACGTCCGAAGTGGCCATAAAGGCTATAACGTTAACTTATAACTACCCCACATCAACTGCGTACGCAGTTCTGGTCGAAATGGAAGAGAAGACCACGTCGTCGTGGATGAGACAACACCGTCACAAACAACGGTAGAGGGACTTGACTAAACACTTGCTCGGGCTCAGTAGTGTCTCTTTCGTGTTCCCCTAGCCTAGGTTAGGTTAGGTTAGCGTGCCTTCGCTCTATAATCGCTTCATTAAGGACTATAACTGAGTGGTATTGGTTTTCATTCTCGTAAAATGTTATTCCTTCTCGAATAGCTCATTGTTTTAGTCGGTAACTTGCCTTACCAGACAACCGAGGATGCAATCGGTAATCACTTCAGCCAAGCCGGTAATGTAACCAATGTTAGGTGAGTTGAAAACTTCATGCGAAAGTGATTCGCTAAGACAGAAAGTGACCTTTGGCGTTCCGCAGCGCGAAATATTTCGCTGCAGGAACCTCGGGTCCACTGATGATCAGCGGTGGACCTGAGGTTCCCGCAGCGAAAAATGTTTTGCGCTGCGAAACGCGAAAAGTCGCTTTCTGTTCTAGCAAACCACACGTCATGTGAAAAACCACAAGTTCTTCTAATTATACTTTTCAGAATTGTTTACGACCGTGAAACCGGCCGCACCAAGGGCTTCGGATTCTGCGAGTTCTCTGATGAGGCTGGAGCTCAAAACGCTGTAAATACCCTCAACGGAACTGATTTCAACGGTCGATCTCTCCGTGTCAATTATGCCAACAAGAACTGATCTCATTTACCGAGTTGTTTTTCTTGCTAATATCGCATCATTCTTTAAAAAACCTGTTTGGTGTTGTGTTCGTTATTGGTGAATAAAACGTGGTATGATCTTCGATTTTGCGGTCGCAAATAACTGGGTCAGAACGACGACGTGTTTGTCACGAGTCCCGAAATCTGGGGCGGAACTTGTGTCCCCGTTCGAACCCTGTTTCACGTCGACCCTCTCTGAAAACCCGGAACATTACATCGCAGCTGCTAGATAATAAAAACAGCGCTATCGCAATATACCCTCGCCTTCAAACGACCAGAAATTTGGCAATTGCCAAATTGACGTGGCATCGACTTTGGTGTCTTCGTCTCTTCTCTTACGTGTGCTCAAAGATGTTCTTGAATCGATGCCACGTAATGCCACGTCAATTTCTGCAATTGCACAATTTCTGGTCGTTTGAAGGCGAGGTTACGTATTTCCTCTAGGAGCTAGCCCTAGGAGTTTTGGCAACAACTCAAGAAATTGAAAATGGCTAACCACCTGGGGTCTCTCAGGTCTTCCCCTTTAGCGGGCTTGTTTTACCGAAAGGAGCTTCTACTAGTTAAAAGCGAGTTGTGCGGCTAGCCAGTAGCACCCCTATATTTGCATAGCCAGGAAAACTCACTATCTAGAAAATGTTAGTAAGGCAGCCAATTCATTAGTGCTGTCACAAAAAGAATGCATCTGGAGTCGCTCAAACGCGTGATTGCTACCCATAAAACGAGAAGGAACATCAGCCTTCTTCCTTTAAAAGTTTTTGCTGCTGCGGCAAACTTCGTCTAAAAGCCAATGGACAGTTCGCTGACATAGGATTAGCTTTCTGCGTGTTACACAGGATTAGCGAAAAAGAGAAACAGTGCGAAATCAGACAAGAAACTAACATGAGTAGGTCGGCAATGGACCACCGTATAATCCTACCGTGTCCTGGGGCCGGATTCAATACTCCTTCCCAAAGGGGTTGGGGATGAAAATCCCTTTAAATTTATTTGTTTTAACGATACAGTTTCATTTTCAGTGCATGTTTACTTTGACCTACATACATACATTAAATGTAGGTCCTTTATCAGGACAATCCCAGTTGGGAAGACAGAGAAATTTAAAGGGATTTTCGTCCCAACCCTTCGGGGAGGATGAAAATCCGGCCCCTGGTGCAATAGTTCGTGCGGACAAAGGAGGTTCTAACTCCGCACGAGGAGTTCTTTGAAGCTATAAATTTCTACAGGGGTCACTTCTACACATTTCTTTATTCTGTTTTATGTTATTTTACGTGGCACATTGATACTGCCTATGCTAAGGAGGAGTGATTCAGGAGGGGAATGAGCGCCGGGGATTGGTGAAAAAATCTTGTAGAGGCCCTTCGCATTTCAGGAGAAGTGGTTTACATACGCTTGGATCGTTCCCCTCTCCTAGGCCTAGGCAAAACCCTTAACCGAGACTTTAGGTGCTTCCTACCGACATGTCCCTTATCCTCCTTGTGGTGTGAATTAGTGCCGCGGAGATGTGAAAAATACTGAGCTCGGTGAAACTCGGGTCCAGGGGTCACGCGATGGCGCCGGCGCTTGAATCGTCTAAGCTCCTCTTAGGGCTTACAAGGGAAGGATGGTAGGTCGAAGTGGCCGTTTAAATGAGAAATGTATACCACCTGATGCGTCTCTAGACGCTGATTCCAAATCTGCCTTCCAAATCTGCTAAACGACTCTCCGAACGGAGTTATGAAGCGTAATAGCTCAGTGGTGATGGTCCGGGGTGGCAGGTAAAAGCTCGTAGGATCGGTTCCTTTGCAAATTGGTTGCTTTGCTTTTGTCTCTAGAAGTGTTGCGGACAAAGCAAAGCAACAAACTTGCAAAGGAACCGATCCTACGAGCTTTTACCTGCCACCCCGGACCATCACCACTGAGCTATTACGCTTCATAACTCCGTTCGGAGAGCCGTTTAGCAGATTTGGAAGGCAGATTTGGAATCAGCGTCTGGAGACGCATCAGGTGGTATACATTTCATTTTATAACGGCCACTTCGACCTACCATCCTTCCCTTGTTAGTACAGGGACAGTTACTCTTTCGCCATTATGTGGCAGTTTCAAAATACGCGCCATCGGTGACTAAGCCTTGGTAGAGCAGACGAAAACAGCGCCGCGCCATCGCGTGCCCCCCCCCCCCGAACCCGAGTTTCACCCTTAGCCCAAACCTGAGCCCATACGCAACAGTTTTTTTTTGTTGAGTGAATTTCAGTATTTCAAGGGAACTGGCCAATCCGTGAAGTAGTTAGAGAAACCTTTTTTGGTGCTATACAAGTAGGGTGGGCACGCCGCATTTTTTGAACAGAAATGTATGTCAAGTGGGACTGCTGCTCGCTACTATACTGTCACGAGAATTGGGGAGTTCGTGAGCCAGGGGGAGTGTAGCCAATCTAGGGGGGGGGGGGGGGGCTCCCAGACAATACCTAACCATTTGGGCGCGGCCGCGGCGAACGCGGCCGAGTTGATAGGTGCCCGCGAACTCAGCACAGCACAGTTCGCGGGCACCTCGAGTGCGTTTTCAACGGTTCGCGGGCACAATCGACTCGGCCGCGTTCGCCGCGGCCGCGCCCAAATGGTTAGGTATTGTCTGGGAGCCGGAGTGAGGCAGTCACTTGACTGTGCGTGAAAGTTGGGTGTGCCCACCCCACTTGTATAGCACCCTTTTTTAGCCACTCTCATACTGGCTATACTTATCGCGTAGTGTTGCGAAAGTAAAAACGCGCGCAACTTAGCGGCGGGGCGCAAGTGCTCCAGGGGGGGGATGGTGAGCGGCGTAAAATTGCAGTGAGATTCACGGGAAACGTCCGATTTTAGGAGTAAGTCTTAGGCAGGAGTATGAACGAAGTTCTGTCCGGAATATCTCCCCTCTGTAGGCTTAGTCATTTTAGTGGCATTGACTGATTGACCCCCCCCCGAGGCAAATTGCGCATATGGCAGCATATCGGACAACCAGAACCTGTGCGTGCCTTGGTTTGCTTATGGTAGAATTCGGTTTTATTTAGAACCTCAAAGGAATGGTTCCGGACCTTTAAATCTGTTGGCGCGCAAAATTTGAATGCTACGGCGCTGTCTTCGCCTTTACAACTGCTGTTCTGTTCGGAATTTCACCATGCCGAAGAGGAAAGCAAAAGTTCTGGTAAGGTAGTTCTTCTGTTCCTCTTGTTTATTGAAATGTTTGCGACTTAATGATCGGTAGCGGTTGTGTTTGGCTTTGTGAAATTGCCAATCGGCAACAGTGTGCAGTTTTCAGACCACATATTTTGAATCGAAAAAGATAAAAATCTCGGAGACCACGGAATATTCGCTGGAATCTTCGAAAGAAAACGAAGTCCGTGGTGATGAAGAAGAACGTGCGTGGAAATTCTTCTGCTGGAACGTTGCAGGTCTACGAGCTTGTGCTAAGGTTATTTTTAGTTTACGTTTTTTTCCCGAAAAACCTTAAGACTACTGACTCGTTTCTACGTTTTAGTACTGTTTATACTGTCGTGATCAAAGAGGAGAGGTCTATCATTCCAGAAGAATGGTCACAAATCGATTTTGGCCGAGGATGCCGATGTGATATTTTTGGGAGAGACAAAGTGCAACGAGTGGCCGGTCGATTTAGAAAGTGCGTTCAGAACGAAGGCGAGTGTGTTCCTTCTCTTTTGTTGTGCGCCATTCTAAATGAAGTATTGTTAAGGGATATCACCGGACTTTATTAGTCTCGCAAAAGAACAAAGGCGGATACGCCGGTGTTGCTTTGCTCAGCAAAATAAAGCCGTTGAAGGTAAGATGCAGGTTTAATTGTTTGTATAAGATACTTAAGCTAATCCAAGGGCATGACTCACCTCGGTTTGTTCAATTTGTAACCTAAGGTCTTAAGGTCTGGGTCCAAATCGCCGGGGAGCAATTGGTAGCAAGCTGACTTTTGAAAGAAAAACCGTGATGAAACATCTTCGGCGCAATGTGCATTTAGGAGAGGGGGGCAGTCTGTAGAAAGCTTTAGCTATGCCTAACCGAGAGGGGCGTTTTTTGGAGCGAATAAGGTTTGCTTAGGGAACCCTTCCTTCTTATCTTCCAATCTCTTTTCTCTTATCCTACCAGGCGCTTCTGAGAATTTGTCGCAGTGTTACGGGCTGGTAATTAACAACTTTTTGACCCACAACAGTTTTTACCATTGAGCGCATATAATTCCTTCCAAAGGGTTTGTCGCAGTCAAAAACGATTTCAAAACGCCTTCAACGATCATCTTTGTATGTTTTCATAGGTGAATGACAATTATCGCTCAAAGTAGGAAAAGGGATAACAAAATGAGCCCAATAAAAATTTTTTAACGGTTCCGTTTAGATATGGAAAGGCCTTGACAGTGAGCTGTTTGCTGACGAAGGTCGTCTGATTATCGCAGAGTTCACACGGTTCTACTTTATCGGTGCCTATGTTCCAAACAGTGGACGCGGGCTAGTCAATCTTGGAGGTCGCGAAAAGTGGGAGGAACTCTTTCTTGGAAAAGATAAAAGATCTGGATTCGAAGAAGCCTGTGATATATGCCGGTGACCTGAACGTTGCTCACAATGAAATAGGTGAGCCTTTCATCGTATCACTCAGTTTCGGATACCACTATTGTAAATGCTCTACCCAGACTTGGCAAATCCCGATTCAAACAGGAATAAGACCGCTGGTTTCACTGATCAAGAGCGTGGATGGTTCACACGATTGCTCGGTGCAGGTTTCAAGGTATGCTGTCTTCTGAACTTTAAATAGAAACTTAGTCATTTAATTTCTTCTCAGGATACATACCGTGAGTTACATGGAGACAAGCAGGAATACACTTTCTGGTCTTACATGGGAAACGCTCGTTCCAGGAACATAGGATGGAGGCTTGACTACTACGTAGTGAGTGACAGAATTTTTGAAAAGGTATGTCTTTCGGAAAACGACTACACAAATTATTCTTATGAGCCATTTTCTCGATACGGAATCCCTAGCACTTTCATATAAAGAGTGTTGCACTCCTCAAGCAGATCCCAAGCGAATTAGTGCAATCTCGAATATGGGGTTGTCCAGGAAGTCATGCCACCCCTTGAGCAAGGTTCTTTAAAGGTAGCGGTTACGATAAATTCAACAAGGGTTAAGTGTGACCTGGTGGTGTTAAGTGGTACCCCATCAGCGAAAAAAGCAGAACCGCGGCGCATGTGCTCCATTTTGTTTCCCTGTTCTTTTAGGTGAAGAGCAGCGAAATACGAACTGATGTGATGGGCAGCGATCACGCTCCGGTCGTTCTAGAGATCGACATCTAAGCGCATCATCTCGGAATCGAGAATCTGCGGTTGCTTTACGATTCCTGAAAACGAACTTTTCCAAGTGCAACCACATCCTATTTTGGCGTGACTCAGAATGAGATTCACGTTATTGGCAAGTAAGGAGAATATTTTTGAGCCAGTTTTTACTTTGAAATAGTTTCTCCAACGTACAACGGTTCAACTTCAGTTTTTCTAACTACAATAACTGACTAGTTTAACTTCTCCTCGTCATGAGTTGTCCAGCAAGTTTGTGAAAGTTCCCTTCTCTCCATCAAACAATATCACGGAATGAGGTCGAAGTGAAGCGAAGTCGAGCACAGCTCCACTGCATATTTCCTTTTAACCGGTGTGAATAGGGGAATACTCAGCGCCCCTTCATTTTGTAAGCAGCTGAGTATAGAAGGATAGTTTCATCACTATTCAATAACGACTCTATTTACGATATCATGTCTCTCTGCCAGGCGAAGTATATTTGGCGAAGCTTGTTTCTTACCCCAGCTTATGATATTATCCTTATCCTCATCACTTCACCGTTGAATTAGACGCACCGGTCTTTGTATCTGTCAAGCTTCAGCCATGGTGGTAAGCACCCCAATTGTCACTGAAGCAGTAACTATTTGTTTGTCCATTATTTTCAGTATAATTCTTAATGATCTCTCCTTGTTAATATTAGTGTAGCGTGTCATTCTTGGGTTCAAATACTTGTATCGGTTTCTTGGAACATTGAAACAATAAAGGAGATTTGTGCAAGGCTATATTTATGAAAGTTACAATATTAATACTAGCAATTTGGAAAGAAAGCGATCGGGCATTGACATTAAAACATTCCAATTATCCCGTTTATTCCTTAAAGTCACCATCTGAGTCGAGAACGAAAATGTAGAAGTTTTTGTAATCAAACTTGGGACCATCCATGTGATCGCACACCAAGAAATATGTACATGTATTCAAAAATAGTATTTCTAACGTAAAACAGTTCAGAAGAAATTAACAGGAATGGATAACTCTTTGCTCGTATTTACAATCAAACAGCTGTGAAGAGCTTCACCCTCTGAGCTGAGCTAACATGTTCTCTATGTCCTTATCTGACATCGGCTTGGAATCAGCGCCAACGGATGTGGGTACTTTCGGTACAGCGGCTAACTGGAAACAACAGTTTCATTAAAGAAAAACGCATTTTTTGATCGTCCCTTGCAAAGTTTTTAAAAGAAAACCCCGACTTCAAGGAGGGGTACTAAGCGAGCAAACGCCCATACAAAAAAGTAGAGTAGAGGGTAGCGAAAAGCGCTGGCTTTGTGATTTAGCTGCTGAATTTATTCTTTATTGTTATAAAGTTAAAGTTGGTTGAGCTATACATGACTGACAACTAACGCCTTCTGCTTCATTGCTGCACGTTGAAAGCCCAGAATGAATAGAAAGTACATAAAATACGGACCTTGCTCTGACATTCGATGCCAATTTCGTCCAAAACCTGGTTCACAATAGCGTTCTGTTCTTCCTCGTCACCGGGCTCATCAAGTATGCTGTCGAGAGCATCACTTCATCATCTTCAAATAAAAAAAAGTAAACGCGTGAATAATGAGTGCGAACTTATAAGAAGATAAATATGAGATTGTCAGATGGTGATATGTATGGATATGTGGTGCCGTCACTAGTTTCGGCGACATTTTCTGAAGTACGAATCCTCTGAACCTATGAATGCTATCACATACATATCATACCCTTAGGGTATGGAGGCAAAGGTTACTGAAGAAGCGATTTCGAAAAAACAAAAACAGTACTTAGCACTTTGAGGTTAAAGGTTAAACAAGGAAAATGGTTGAGTTTGAGCACCATCAATATCAGACATTATACGGTATACAAACAAAATGAAAACTTGTAGTTTGCGAAACGTACTTCTTCAGATAGGCCCAGTCGCTCCTGCGCCATTTGGAACTCTTTCATATTTTTCGCGACTCGTTCCATAGGCATTAACTTCTCCATCGTCTTCATGGTGCCAACTGTTTGGCCCATTACTTGTGACATCTTGTTCATACTGTACATTTGGCTAAAATGAAAATGCATTGGATTGCTTACTTAAATGAAGAACTTCCACTTTCGCACGAGCTGTAAAACAAATTGTTAATTATTTGTCTGGTACTTCAGGAACCACCAGGTGTGATGATTGTTTGTGAACACAACTAAGCCATCATTGATTAGTTCATATGCACCTTTTGGGATGACAAAAAACACAATACCCGAGTTTTGAAAAGCACGTATGTCAGTAGGGTTAGGAAGGATTATGTTCCATCTGATGGAAGGGATTGTGGGAGGAGATGCAGCTGTCAGCCGTAGTCCAGACCTCACTCAGACAACTGAATCATTGGTCCCTACAGGATTCTTTGGAAGATCAAAGATTTAGTTGGTCTGGGTGAGGTCTGAAAATGGCTTCATTTTATATGCGACCAACCGATGTGCAGGTTGCTATTTTATTCATTTCAGAATGACCAGCGAATCACTTTACCATCAGATTGGTGGGAGACGTGAGTGGTTTCGGCAAGTATTCTGTCGCTCATAAAATTGAGCATTACCCGAAGAATCGCCTGCAGAGGCAGGGCTAGTTTGGGGGGACCATAGACATGATGTACGGAGTATGAGTATGTATAACCCATGCTTAGCTCACCCCTGCCGTAGTAAAGGAACAGAGATTGAGCAGAGTGAGTTCCTCAACTGGTCGTATTTGGCCCAGAGAGCGAGATGAGATCGCGTTTCGGAGTTTTTGGGGACCATAGTGGGGACTAGATAAGACGAAAATCGCAAAATTTGCTGTGTCAGCTTTCACGAATATTCATATAACCCTACTACGCTGTTAAAAATATTCCTGACGCGCTTCGATAGTTGATGGTTTGACAGTTTGCGGACAGTGCATCAAAGATGGTCAGTTAACCGCTAGGAGGATTCTACTAGGACGATGGTCGAAGAAGTGGAGATTTATCTGGGACAGGCGACCTTCTGAGGGTATTGACATGCATTTTTATAGGAGGATATGCACCCGGAGATCTAGCATGGCCTCAGCAATTGGCGCGCTATGGCCCGATGCGCCCTCTGTGTCCGTAAGTCTCCAGCCGTTCAGAACCGAGAGCAGCGCTAGCGGTCGAAGAGGCGCAGCCACTTGATGAAGTTGCGACCCATCGCAACATCTAATGGCAAGGAACGAAGCCCCTCGTGTCTCGGGTTTTTGGACGATTTTCTCTTTCGTGCATCGCTAGACCATCTCTAATTTTAGAGTCACAAGACGGCTTCGGTAAAATCCGTAAAACTCGTAAAGAACACTGGCCTTAAACTTGTTAACTATGTACACATACTGAAGAAACAAATACACCAAATCACAAATTCTTTTGCCACTAACTCAATATCGCTTATAGAACAAATAAGCTAGCTAAACCTCTTCCGATAACGAAACTTGTCTGTGCTCCCGATTCCGGTTTAAACTTGGGACTTCACTTCCACACGCTCTTTCCTTTTCCGTTCGTAATTGGACGCAGTTGTTTTACGCGACGTACCCGCGACACGCCGGCGGCAAGCATCTTTTTGACCTTGTTTTGCCAGCTTTTTGATTTCATTTTCCTGAAAGAAGCAACGCTGTAGTCCCACTCAATTTCTATCGACGCAGCATTTGTTTCCAACGAACCAGTTCTTTTTCTCGACGCTCGGTGCTTCGCCGATACGCCTTCCACTCACGAATTAAGCTGCTTCGAATATTTCTTATTGTTCTCAACTGCATGATTGATCTGAATCTTCTAACCAAGAGCTGAATGACGCAGAACAAAAATTGTTAGCAGATGTAACCAAATTGTTTGTGGAACCTTTTATACACGATATCGTCACCTTTAGGATCCGGCTTGTTGAACCAACTGCTCATGTTTGATACGACGACTCAAAATTGAGAACAACAGAGGATCACAGTTAGTAAGGAGTCTGAAAAGATGTCGTAAGGGGACGTAGGACACGTCTTGAAAATATCCGGAGATATGGAATTCTCACAGGACTTTGACTAGTTTTTAAGGCATCAGTTACTTCAGATAAGTGCATACTCACAAGGGAGGTCGTCCAGGGTGTGCCAAGCTTTTCAAAACGGTTTCTAGCATGGGGCACATGCGGGAACCACAGAACCATGGTTCATTTTTCCTGAACGGCCCTCTGAATACCAGAAAAGGGGGTCCCTAGTTCGATTCCTCGTGGTGACAAATTTTTGCATTTCGAGTTGACGTTTCCAAAATTCGCGCAAAATGGAGTTAGCATGAATAATTAGTACCATATTCATGATTAGGACCGTCAGTAACCCTTACAAAATAGACTTTGATTAAAAAACTGGTGAAAAGGTGTGACATCACAGTGGGGCCGTATTGGTGTCACATTGATCAAAGTCTATTTGTAAGGGTTACTGACGGTCCTAATCATGAATATGGTACTGATTATTCATGCTAACTCCATTTTGCGCGAATTTTGGAACGTCAACTCGAAATGCAAAAATTTGTCACCACGAGGAATCGAACTAGGGACCCTTTTCTGGTATTCAGAGGGCCGTTCAGGAAAAATTGAACCATGGTTCTGTGGTTCCCATATGTGCCCCTATGTCATGCAAGAAACCATTTTGAAAAAGCTTGGCACACGTCTGAAACGACGCTACCTTTGCTCAGTGGGTGTTCTTTCTCACTGACTCATAATATTGTTTGCCCTAGATTGGAAACGAAAGTAAGCAAAAGAGAAGAAAATGAGTTCTCTTGCATTAGGAATTTATACATGGTGAAATATAAATATAACAACAGACAGCAACAGAAAAGAGAGGGTAAGCTTGGGGTGACCGTGAATTCATCGCTGTAATAGATGATGACTCATACTTGAGATGGCAAACACCATATGACGTCATTGCAGTCAATGTGAGCGTTTATCTGGTGGTTTATAGATTGCAAGATTTTTGGGTCCATGGAATTTGCTGTTTCTTGTGTTTCAGACAA